GTGGCTGGTAAGTACATCTGAGAAGTTAGAAGAGAGGGTTATATAAATTCTCTACTAATTAGTGGTCCCAAAGCTTAAATTAAAAATAAAAAAATAATAATAATAACGGAAAGGACAAAGGACCGAGCAGGACAAATTGAGTTAATCAATTCTAAAACTTGATTAATGAAGTCTAATTACGGTTGAATTGACTAACTACCCATGATCCTAGATGCCCTTCGACTGGCTGCTGATTTAGGTTCTGGAACCTAGACTCTTTCATTGGCTTCTTATTCATGTGGGAGATATATGACTGCATGCATTTTAGCACCCTTTTGAGCAGCGGCATGCATTAATATATAACAATTCTTATTATTTACTGGTTAAGTTCATCTGTTTCATGGAAAAGCGATACAAAGATACTCATGAAATCCAATGGAAGAAAAGCTTGAGGAATATTTTTATAGCAAGTTGTTCCTCATTTCATGAACATGGCATGTTTAAAGAGGGTTCTGCCTGCACCTCATTTTGCATGTACAACAATCAGAATGATCATCTCATTACAAATCCACCATGATGTGTCACAATATATATTGAACAAAACTGTCAACACCCAATTGATTGAGTTTTAGTCATAAGTTCTATTATCTCTCAAAGTTCTTTGTGGTTCGTGAACTTGGATTTCAGTCGTAAGTTATATTCTAACTTATGACTGAAACTCGATGAATTATATCCTTCTAAGTTCAAAGAATATGGGACAATAACAAAGTACATGAGTAATATACGTAAATAATAATCAAGGATAATCATCATTTATCAATATGAATGAGTTCGAACGGTTGACCTTTTGTTCATGAAATAGTTAGAGAATGTTGAACGTGGAGAAATTAATCACTGTTGTTGGATTCCTAGCTTGTCCTAGATTTTGTTGTTTGATAGAAGACACAATTTTGAGTGGAAATGAAGCAATTGTGGCTAAGAAAAATATATTATATACACAGTAGCAAATGTAACAAGAACACAGCTAAAGATTTTCATGTTTTGGCCATGAAAGGTTGTCTGAGACATGAAATATATATGCTGTTTATTCATGAGAAGTTGATGTATCAAGAGTTCAGAGTCAGCATGAATATGTGAACACCGTTCGTCTACATGCACTTAACTTTGCAAACGAACTCGACCAATATGTATGAATACACAATGATTTTGTTGTACGAAAATAGTACACTAACATTAGGGCAGCCTTCAATGTTTAAATACTTCTACCAAACCCCAACCCAAAAATAAAATTAAAAAAAAAAAAAAAGTTACCGAATTGTTGAAATTCAATAAATTGGTAATTAGGAGTTTACCTATCAAACAAATCTCACAATGCACAAAATGCCCTAGTATTAGGGAAAAAATATCACTTTGTTATACCTTCGAAACAATGTATTATGCATTCAAATTGAACGTCGGAGCCACAAATACTTTGGAAACTCAAAATATGTTTTTCTTAAGATTACACTTCTCAAACTAGTGCAAAATCTAATCTACAACTTGTTTTTATAGATAAATTGAAAGTTTAAAGTTTTGACTTCATAATTCATTTGGTGGTTGTATATAATCTATATATATTTTTCTCAATTATGATCCATATGCATATGCATGTTGGGTGAAAAAAAAAAAATATATATATATATATATATATAATTAAAGCTTACAGAATTGTTCCGCAGCTGTGATTGAAGTTAGAGCTTTCTTTCTTTATTTTTTATTTTTTAAAAGTTTTTTTTTATCAAGCTTTCTTTACTTTCTTTGGTGCTGCGACCCAAGGAGGAATCAAACGGTTTTATAAATTTTAATTTTTCATGCCAATAAACAAAAATTAATCTCAAATGTCCAGTCTATTTTACCATTTTTTATGTACACGTGTAGGCATCAGATCTTCTCTCAGATGAAAACGTTGACCTTTGACTAAAAAGTAGAGCACAGGAGGGACTTTTGGTTCGAGCGACCGGGGACACAGAGCTCCTATTGGGCCAACCGACACGTGTGCATGAGAAAGCACAAGCAAACCGTAAAAAAGGCGGGCCCACTCATGATACCGTCGCCATGTGCAGCATGTGATCACACCCTATCCTTACAACTAGTCGCAATTCGCTTTGGACATTTTCTTATCTTAAATTTTTGAAGGTATGGGCTTGTGGGGTTAAAACTCCGACCATTTTAAAACAAATCATTTTCCCATAAGTTAACAAATAAAAAAAATTAAATTAATATGTTACTACTGCAAGTGGTTATTTTTATCACAGTAGTAAAAAAGTATTAAGCCTTTACATGGCGAGATAGATTCAAATCTTGTCGATGATTAATGTAACATCTAATTTAACAAAATCTATCGTTTGACAAAAAAAAAAAATGTTACTACTAAGAAATTGAGATGTAATTTGTAAATTAATGAATTCATAAAATCATCAACTAATATAAATGTGTATTATTGCAGATATAAGGTAAAGTAGTTCAAGAGATTGACTACATAAAAAAATTTTAAAAATTAAGTTAAGTTTGTATCCCACTTTTAGGCCCCAATATATTCCTCTTTAAGCTATAGACATAATACAAATTTCCCTTGTAATATAAATTTCACATATGATAATTTATCGAATAATAGTATAGAACAAGCCTGCATTGATATATTTATCTAGAATAACGTAGTCATTTTCAACTAATTGCGTCCTGAATTTAAACTCATGCTCGTTCCTAAGACTAAAATAGTCTCCCCACCCAATTTTGATTTCCTTTCATACAATTTGATAGTGGTATATAGTAAACATTAAAAATATTTTTACTACATAATAGCATACGCGCGTAGAAAACTCGCACAACACGAATAATTCTTTTTTCTTTTCTTGTATACGTGAAGAGTTAAGTTACAATAATGCAAGGAGAGTTCTAGAAATACAAAGAAAGTTGTAGCTGGATCGTAGAGAGTTAAAAGTGAAGCAAATGAGTAGGTGCATGCCGGTGCGTACTGAAGCCACTCGAACACAAGATTGCCGCGTTCAATCAACTTTTTCCCGCATGCGGTTAAGAAGGATCCGCTGATTCATCAGACCTGACCTTATGATATGTCACTACAGGTGATCTCAAATCCCTTTTTTCGGTTTATCCAGCCATACAGAAGGAAAGGGCGGCCCCCCAAGTCTCACGTAATGTCACATCCCCACACAAGCATTTTAGTTTACTTTAACCCCCTTAATTATGCATATGCATATCAATTTGCGGGTAAACTTTGTTGCAGATACGCTTGTAGCGGTTGGATAGAATTTCTCGGATACTCTTTGATAGGTGCATTCTCTTCATGTAGAAGCTCAGTCGGCTTGGTGTTGGGATTGTCCGTCGTTCTTTTGTATGTTTTAAATTATGAATTTTGGCAAAACGATATTTTAAACTAGTTTAATTTAAGAAGGAATACATTTAACTCATATGAAGTTTTGGATCTTGAATTTAGTACGTGAATGAACCCAAAAATGCATCTGTCTTTGGCAATAAAGATGTTGGGGGATCTCAGATTTTTGTGGATCCCATAATATGGCATAAATGGTGTCAAATTCACAAATTATTAGGGATTCCATAACCCATTAAGTGAGGGATAGACTTTGTTGTTTCGCACTATATAATTTTCTTCATTAGAAAATTTCATAACAGTAGACACAACCATACATATACACATGAATACTGTTTCTTTGTATACATTCTCTCAATTATTTATACATTATACATATCATGAAAATTTGAGGAGTCTTCACTTTTTTCGTATATGTATCATGCAGCAGGCATTTTAGACAAAGTGATTCCTGAGATTGACATAACTTTTCACTTAGGTTCCTGAGATTTGAAATTGATAGAAGTAATCCTTGAGTTTGTCCACTATCAATCATTTTGGTCAATTCGTAAAAATCTCTGTTATATAAAAAGATCAAAATGAGAAAAATACACTCAATTTAAGCAATAATGGGCCAAAATGATTTGATAAAATTGAGGATAGTTTTGATATTTTTCCTTAGTTCACTAAGATTTTCACAGAATGATCAAATGATTGACGGCGGAAAAACTCAAGGACCAGTTCTATTAATTTTAAATATCAGGAACCAAAATAAGGAGTTATGACAATATCAAAAACCATTTTAACTAAAAAGTCTTATACGTAGCCAAATAAATGTGCTTGTTTTCATAGTTAAGAAGTCTTACGTGGCCAAATAAATGTGCTTGTTTTCTTAGTTAAAAAGTCTTACGTAGCCAAATAAATGTCCTTGTTTTCTTACACTCAAATTTGAATAACCGTCTCAATAAAAACATCATCAAATTGTAAAATCTTCACATTTCTGACAAATAAGTTAACTTTTTAAAAATGCGTACGCCTAATTTGATCTTCTGAAATCAAATACCTTTTCCTTTCTCCCTCACCCATTCCTTCATAGCTCTTTTTAGCTTTGAAGCTCCACAAAGATCTTATTTTCCCCAAACCTAGATATTCACTATGACAAGCTAAGTGAGATTTGGTGCATTTAAGTTCCCCTCTCCCCCTCTGTTTCACTGACCTAAAGACTACTCCATGACGTTTGCTTTGGGAACCCACCACATTACCATAATATTATCTTCCTAACAAACAATCAAAATAACTACTTACTATGGTATGATGATATTCCTTTTTATTTGTAAGTAAAATGTTTTAGATTTAAATCTCGTAGATGACAAATTTGATATCAAATTAGATTATCTATTGTGTAGCTTAACCAAACTATTATTCCTTTAATGTGAAATATATCGTTTTACGTAAAATATATATATATATATATATGTATGAATATCTATACATATATTATAAAGCCTCCCAATTTTATAATTTAGATATAAAATTAAAAACAATAATTGTGGGCCTCTCGAGGCACAGAAGGCCCAGGTGATACCCACTGCCACTCTCATCAGCAACCTCCTCGTTTTCTTTCCTCCATCTCCCTTTAAATACCAATCTCACTCACCATTCCTTTCCCAAACTTACTCGCAAACCCACTGATTTTTCACTTGTGATCTTCTTTCTCTCTCCCTCTCTCTAGAAACCCAAGTAATCAAAGGCACAAAAGATACCAGCTTTTTAGAGAAATGGCTTCTGTTTCTGTACCTGCAGCTGGCGGCAGTGCTTCTACTGCAAGTGCTTCTCATCACCACCCGCCTCCTTTTTACTTCGACGAGAAGTGGAAGCTGTCGAAGAAAGGAGGGTTGTCGAGATCGAGCCGTTCATCATCTTCCATTCATCTGATGAAGAATTCATCGCAGTCCAATCGACGGTGCGCGTTTTCCAGAAAGTGTGCGAGGTTGGTGAAGGAGCAGAGAGCTCGGTTCTACATCGTGAGGCGCTGCGTCACCATGCTCATCTGCTGGCACGACTACAGCGATTCATAAACTGAAAAAAAAAACAGAGGAGAGAGAAAGTTGCAATCTTTTGCCTCTGTTTTTGTTAGATCTTTTTGGGGTTTGATTGCTGCAGAAAAACCCAGTTCACAATCAGCTTTTGTTCTTGAGGAAAGAGCACGAGGAGAAAGATTTATACTTGTACATAAAATTTTGCTCTGTTTTTATTTGTATTTGTAATGGGGGTTAAGAATTTAGATTTTGAATTTTCTTTTTTTGGGCCTCTGAATCTCCAGACAAAGGAGATGAGATGGGTTCTTGATGTTAATTTCACTGCTACTATCTGAGAATTATGAGAAATATTTCAATGAAAATAGAGCTATTGAGGTCTAATTCTTATTCTTCCCTCCTCCTTTTTAAATTATTAAATTTGCTTTAGCTATTTATGGTTAAATTCTTGTGTTTTGTTTTTTAATGGTTTGGTTAATCTGTTGGTCTTGAATTTTGAGATTGAAGAGATGGGGCAATGGTTGAAATATTTTATTTAGCACAAAGAGATGGAGAGATTCCCTTCAACTGTGTTGCAGCCTTGCAGCTGATGCAATTGTGGATCTGGTGAGCTTGGCTGACACAAGTAGGATTAATAATTCATTAAATTTGTATTTTCCTAATTTTTAATGTGAATCATGGATGTTAGGGATTAATATAAAATTGCGCAACTTGAAGGAAAGACAGTGGTTTTCACACTTCTATTTTCTTCTTCGACACTCGTTTCTCTTAATTGTCATGCTTGAGGATAACGAAACGGAAGAGAAAAACGTGGTTTGAAAACCATTTTCTTATTTTTCTTCTTACAATATGATGTTCAATTGTAAGTTACTCTAATTTATAGAGATACAACTTCGAGCTCAAATGTCGAAAGAAGTTTCAAATTCAAAAGCAAGAAAACGAGCACACTGATCTACCCAACTGTTCAAGTTGTTTATCATAATACACAAAAGATGCCCTTTTCTTGCATTACAATTTCAATGTCGTACAAAATATGGTAAAAAAAGTTGTGTGCAACCAAAGCGAAGCATAATGCAATCAGCCTGTCACTTCTACCTCCAATGCTTCTGCAACCAAAATGACCCATTTGTCCTAGATATTTTAGGCGTTTGACCAGTGGAGGACCACTTTGACCACTAATCTGGTATAGCTGGACAGGGGTAATCTTGGAACCTTAACCCTGGCTTCATCGTTTGTATATATTTCGGTATCCAGATTCCCAAACTGCTCTGCTCGACATGTGAGGGAGTCTGATTACCATGCATGTGAGAGCAACTCCAGCGTTGGAGCCCTCCCCCCTGGCAATACACTATTCAATCCACCTAATGAACAGTAATTGCCCTTAATGAACAGTAAGTAGCCTGGCAATAGATTTTGCATCTCCACCGTTACACTTCTATAGCCCTGGCAATAGGCAATAAAATATTAGTATTTTTTTTATTTATAAAATTAATACAAAATAATTTTAAATGTAATATCGGATAAGATTTTTAATCGTTGTCGGTGCCCACCAATTTTCTCAAGAAAATTTGTATGAATAAGACTCCACATTTCTCGCAACTGCATCTCATTACCCGTAAGCGAACTATGAGTAACTTCAACCCAGCTAGTACACAACGCAACATCTTCAATAAGCGACCAATTCGTACCTGCACCAGTGGTCATTTTGTTGAAAAAAAATGGATTCAAACTTTGAGACAAAGAAAGGAATGTGATTGAAAGTAGTTGAGAAAATATGAAATTGTTGTGAAGGTAGATGATAATGAGAAGGTATTTATAGAAAAGTAAAAACAATTTTTTTTACAATTTTTTTCAGATTTTTCAGATATTTTTTTGAATTTTTTTGAATTTTTTACAATTTTTTTTAAATTTTTATTCAATTAATTAATCTCTGCCGTTGGATATAAAAAAATTTGAATTCCAACGCTCCAGATTGTGCCACGTGTCACACCGGTAACTTTTCAGATTTTTAAAACTATTTTTTCATTTATTTTTTAATTTTTAAAGCATTTTAATATCCACCGTTGATCTCAGATCGAACGGTGGATATTAAATCTGACAGTTTGAATTTTTTTTACCGTTGAGATCTAACGGTCCACATTAAGTGACCGTTAGGATCTAACGTACCGTGGGAAGCCACGTGGCTTCCCAACGGTAACAGACAAACCTTTTTTTTTTTCTGATTAACGTGTCAGGACGCGCCCCCACGCGCGGGTGGGGTGCACGCGCCTGACACAAAAAAAATAAAATATTACGCTGACGCCATCCTGGCGTCAGCCTTGCGTCACTCCCACCTCGGGCTCAAGGGCTGGCAATCCCTCACGGGCCTGGCCCTCGGGCCTCCCCCGTCCCCCGGCCTGCGTCACGCTGGACGCCGTCCACCGGCCCTCGGGCCTTTGTTCTGGAGCCGGTCCCCCGAGCTAAATGCAACGGTGGGAGTGCTCTGAGGGGGCATTTTCGCCAACGCAAAAGTTTACAGCTGATTTTGTTCATAGTATTATTCTGTGTTCTAATCACACTGAAAAATCTCTTTTTATATTGAAAGTTTCATTTAGATGGTGATTGTGATGTCGTCATGGATTTGACCGTTCGTTAAAAAAAAAAAAAAAACTTTAACGAAAAGTTCAAGGTACTATTTACTTTAACGAAAAATTACATTTTAATACTAAAAAATTAATCATGGTACTATTCACTTTACCCTTTATTTTGTCTTTATCGTTAAAACTCAAAGTTTTCAAGCATTTTTCATTAGTTTTTCTTGAAAAAAAATGAAAGCTTTTTGAAATCTTAAAGCTCGAAATTACTAAAATAAGTAATGTGACATTAATAATAATTTGCCAAAAGGTACTTTTAAATACCTGATTCGAGTTTGAGATCATTTTCTAGTATGTTCCGATATTTTTTTGTATATTAAGATTTTCGGCTATTAAATTTGTAGATAGCGTTTAACCATAAAGATATAATAACTGAAAATTATAATGTCACAAAATGCATCGATGCATACTAGAATTTTTAGTGTTCGTGAGATGTGAAAACTTGAAAAAGAAAGAACTAATTATTGGTATTCGAGCACATTGATAAATCTCTCGAGAAATGACATGGAAGGGAGTGGCAAGTTGGCATACTGGCTGACACGGCAGCAGCAACATCTACACATGATTTACGCTCAACGTCTTTCCTTGATAAGAAAGAAAGAAAAAAGAGCACGAATATTGCTCCAAGTAGATAATCCGTAATTTTCCTTTTTAAAAAAGCACAAATGTTGTTTTTCCTTGTGTTCCTAAACTTTTGTGGGAGTGCGCTGTCTAAATTTGATCGAGTTTATGCTAAAGTTGAGGAGGAATAAACGATAACACAACGATAATTGGTTCGATTGATTCAGTAAAAATTAAGCATTGAGGAAGCTAAACCAAAACAAGCTAATTAAGGGTTTGTTAAAGTGTGTTTAAAATAATTGAATCGTCTTTGACAAAAATGATTTTGGGTTTTAAAACCATTTTTAAGTTCTTGAAAGAAGCATTATATACGTACTTCTTATAAAAAACATTGAAAATGTTTTTCCAAAATCCACCTGAATTTTATAAATATTTTCACCAATAATGTTTTTAATCATTTTAAAAACGCCTTCAAATGAGCCTTAGTTTTAAATGATTTGTTCAATTTGGTTTGGGCGGTTCAGGTGCTGTTCAGGTCTAGTCTGTTTCTTTTTGGCTCCATTACTTACCGACTTACAAAATTTACATATATATATATATATATATAAGTAGTAGGTATAGGGTTAAATGTTCCATTAACTATGTCATGTTAATGATATTATGTTGTGTTAATTATGTGTCACTTAGTAATACGTTCTAGTGGTATTCTTCTTCACTCTTAAGTGAGAAGTTTTAGGTTCGATTCTCGTCAAATGCGAATTTGAAACACATTATTGCTTATTCAATTTTTTTTTAACGCAAAGATTGAAGAGAAATGCTAAGAAACTCTTCATGAATTATTTGTCATCTCATATATTAACGTTAATTTCTGTGTCAGAATCCATAAAGAGTCTCACTCTTAACAGATTCTCTTTAGCTAGCATTTCTCAACTTTATATTTTGAGGTAGGGTTTTGTAAAACAGTAAGCCTAATCATAACTCGTGCATTACCGCTTCCCACGATTCTTTCCGTATGCCTTTTTGCTATTTCGTAGGCTTTTCTTTTCCTCTGTATCTCTATCTCCTTCTTATTTTTCTCCTTTTATATCTTTTACTTATTGTTATTTTCTATGGGTTTTGTATAATTTATACATCAATTGGTTGAGTAGGTCAAGGAGAAAGCTTTGCTTTGCTAAAACGTGATCCCTTTTATGCACTTTAATTAGAGGCAATCAAACAAACATCAACTCAAAAGATCATGCTTGATTAGGGTTTTGACTGTTAATCATTGGGATTAAGCTTGGCGTGCCAAAGGATTCGAAAACGAACAAAAAAAGGGAGAAAAAAGGATCTCGCAGTGGACTTTGGAGAGGTAATCCAAGGACCCAATAGATTCATCAAGGAAAAAGTGCGAATCAAATCTTCACACAAATCTTAACCCACTTTTTCCTTTGGATGATTAGAAATGTTAGTGGATTTTTGGATGTCTTAAACAAAATGATCCTTAACTGTAGTTTTCCCACACACACTTGATGTTGAAGTATTGTTTAATTAATGTGAAAAGAAAACTACATGATATCAAAAGCTAGAGTTATGTTAGCAGAAGTCGTTGTATGCATGTGAGTAGTTATAACCGATTTATACATTGTACGATTTGCTTGATTTAGCCACTGAGAGTCAGTACGAACTCGATTAGTAACATCATGTTAAATGTAATGCATGATAGATATAACAGTTGTAAAATTTGTTAAGTACAATTGCTTATGCATAAGTTAATGAATGTATGTATTGTGAGTCCACCATGCATTAAAAACTGGGGTCCAGAGTTAGGAAGCTTGTACGAGAGATTATTGACACTTTGCAATTACAGACACTGACCAACTCTTATCCATTTCTTTGGGGGCACCGATAAAGATTTTTCCATGCTTTGTGGCCCCAACATAGAAACCGAAAAGGGATCCTCTCTAGATCCCTTCCATCAAGTCCACCAAAGCCACAAATCCGAGCCTTTGAAATTTGATCTAATGGCTACAAATTGAGGTTCACTTTAAAAGTTATAATAATTTTAACCGTTGGATCAAATTTTAAAGGTCTGAATTTATAACCTTGATGGACTTAATGGAAGGGATTCCGAGATGATCCATTTCCATAGAAACCATACTAAGTACTTCCTCTAGTATAACACTTGGGAGAGAAAATAATATCGACTACCATTTTCTTTTCTTGCACACACTATAGAATACATGTTGATCAGTCAGTAGTTTATATCTTTACCTTAACATAAATTATGCAACATGTGTTAGTCACTATGTGCTAGCTTAGAAATACATTTAAATGATTGAAAACGTTTTTAGAGAAAATATTTTTTTTGCAAGAAGCACAAGTTATGTGTACTTTTTTTAGGAGGTACTTTAAGTATTTTTCTAGGATTTACTTGTTTTTTTTTTAACTAAAGATTGGTTTCAAAAATATTTTTACCAAAAGTAATTTCAAACATTTTAAAAACATTTTTAAACAAGCTCTGTGTGCCTTTTGAAAAACAAAATAACATGCATTGAATTACTATTGCAACATCAAGTGAAAATATGGGGCATAAAGTTTGGTCATCTCTAACCGAAGAGCTAAATATAATCTTATCTAGAATTATAGCCCTACAAGAAATTATTTTTAAATAAGCAGTGTTAGGTCATATACATATATCATCTCTAACCGAAGGGGCTAAACATAGTCCGCTCAATAATTATTAGTTTGAAGTTTATACTTTAAATTTACTGGTTAATTTAATCAAACTACCATAAGATGTTTTCAAATCTAATCATTAAATTTGAACCAATTATTACAGCAGAGGAGTTGAACCACAAAAAGGGGTTAGGAGGTGGCTACACTTGGTTACTCTGATGCCCAATCATGCAAATAATAATCTGATAAGCTCTATTGAATTATAGTATAGCCATTTTATTGGAGATGAATTTTTTAACACATCAATCATATTTAACTTTTGAATCTTTAGTCATCTTCATTGAAACGTTCTTACCAACATTGTTGATTATCCTTTCTAATCTAAGCACGCGAATTATTTACCAAAATTGCAATTATCAGCAATTGGCATGGCTTTGGTTGATGCGCTGGCAGAAGAAGTAGAACATTCTAGAGTGGTGCTGCGTCTAGTCAACGGTCACATCACGGACACGTCGAACGACATGATAAGCTCTCTGGATCCCCATCCCTGGAATTTAATCGAAACATAAGTTAAACAACAGGTGGCACCCTGTCAATAAATAATCATCCAAATCACGCTCTGCCATTTTGGACCATTGCTCACGTGGAGCTTCATTAAGGACCCCACGATCACGAGGGATTTTTCAATAAGGTGTTGTATTACGTATTACTATATAAATAGTAAAATATATGTATTAAAAATTTAATAACTTAAAAAATAAAATTTTCTACCACTTACATAAAAATACGTGGTTTACCACTTATATTTCCGTCATAATAAAAAATTTCTTCAAGATCACGCGGGAACTGTACTCCTAATTGGATCCCTGTCGTTGCATGCTTCATGCAGCGTCCACATCATCAATGTTCGAGATTTTCAAGTGAACTGAAAAGGACGGGCTTTTCGGGCCGAAATATGGGTAAAAGGGCCGGCCTTTTAGTTTTCAACTGGAGCCCAAAGGCTATTAATGGGCCAGTGGTCATGTTTCATTTGTACGCTACTTTGCGTGGCCTTTGAAAATTTAAAGAAATTAACGCGCCATTTTGTGTAGGTTTTGGGCTTTTTCTTTCTACGCAGAGTGTGGACTCAAATGCTCTATTTGTGTTCATTTTCGATATGTTAGAGTCGATATATATATCTAAGTGATATTTCTTTTTATTTATAATTTTATGTTTAGTTTTGTAGATGAGGAGTTTCATATCAATTATTCATAGCGTAAATAAATCATATAGCTTGTTTTATATGGTTTTTGAAAAATGATAGCATTAGTGTATTAAATAATGGAGAGAGAATGATGTGGATTCGCTTAAAATCTAATTATTGATTTTTATTATTATTATTTTTTATTATCTATTAGAGAAATGATTTCACACAGATTAACCCACCTATTGAAAATTCTTGATTTCCCTAACTAAATGTTTGGATGAGATAAATAAACTTGAAAATTTAATAAAAGCTAGAATTTACAAATTGACATACACCAATTCCTTTATTTGGATTCATAAACATAGAATTTAGAATTTTTGCATGGACAAAGAACTTGGAATTTAGGACCACCAATTCCCAAGTTTAAATTTCATGTAAACAAGTGTCATTTCTAAATTTCTATGAGAGAGTTTAAAATAAAGAATTATGTATTCAAATTCTATTATTTTTTTTATGTTAATCAAACAAAAAAATTCATAAATCCTAAAAATAAAATCATGTCGTTTCAATTCCATTATTTTAAAATTAATCAGTAATCTTAAATTTTCTTTATTACTGGCAAATTTGATATCGTACGCTACACGTGCGCGTGGGATTTCATTATCATAAAAACATCGACGTACAAAAGCGCCAAGTTTCTGCGTCGAGCACAATCTACACCAAAACGCCCATGGCCACCGAAGCTCCCGACTATACCACCCGATTTATCGTCCCCGTTTCAACCCGACAACCCAATTGCTCCGCTCCGTTTTCGAAGCTCCTATACGGAAGTCGAAACGGGTCAGTCCAACTCCAACTCTCTCACACTCTCACTCCCAAACGTCAATCTTTATTTTTCTATGAATTTTTGCAGTAAAATTGGTGGATTGTAGTTAAAAACCCTAATTTGATTGGTTCAGATTCAGTTGCTTGTTAATATCTGTTTAGAAGAACTAATTTTAGTGCTTTTGGACTTTTGATGAATGCCTTGCAATTAATCACTAGTTAATGGTAATTTAATTCCAAAGGGAAAACCTTTTTGGAGTTTTTTTTTTATGCTCAGTAATGATGTGGTAAATTTACTTATATTTTGGGATTTTTCATATCCATTTTATCATACCATGGATTGATATTTGTATATGACATGACCAGAAAGTTGAAGATTGCAAGTGCGGCAGCCATGACTGATGCAATTGATTTATCTGGGGATGGCGGTGTTCTCAAGAAAATTGGAAGGCATGCAAAACCAGATGCAGCTGCCCCGACCCAAGACCTTCCGCTCGTTGATGGTACTGACTATAATGCCGCAGCTGATTGTGTTTATTTGCTATGGAGGCATTCTTGAGGAAACCGGCGAAGTCTTTGACACGACGCACGAAGATAATACGATTTTCTCATTCGAGGTTGGGAAAGGCAGTGTGATCAAGGCTTGGGATATTGCAGTGAAAACCATGAAGGTCGAGAAATACGCTTATCTTCCAGGAAATTTTGGAAGTGCTAAAAGTGTCCTGTTACATGTTTTCTCTTTTGTTGGTTGCATCAGGTTGGGGAGATTACTAAGATCACTTGCAAGCCGGTATATGCCTATGGTAGTGCGGGTTCTCCACCAGATATTCCACCAGAGTAATGTCATTGTTCTATTTTTATGTCGAAATTGTTTTTAATAGACACTGGGAGTGCTACTAGCTCTGTTAACTTAAAGATATATTTACGCATCAATGTACCAAAACCAATGTTTGAAAAGGCTCACCCGTCCTCTAAGGCTAGGCATAAGGGTTGCCGCCTCTGTTTTGAGGGAGTGAGCGGAAGGCGCCGCTGGAGCCGCCTCGGGGTTTTTTTTTGTTTTTCCTCTCTCCTAAACCCAAATTTTGGGTAGGGTTTTAACTGCCTCATACATCTTCCTTGCTGTCTGCGTGCATTGTTATATGTATACTCATTGTGTTTTTCATCCTCTATAATATATATATAATATATTATAATATATATATATATATATATATTTACAATATATGTGTGTGTACAGGGTGATTATTGATTAATAATTTTTATTTTAATATGTGTGTATGCTTAGTGTATATATTAAAAAATTTAAGTCCCATGAGGCTTCGTCTCACGCCTAGGCTGGGCTATCCCTGGGACACCTCGCCCACGCCTCACGCTTTTAATACAATGACCAAAACAACACTGTCCAGACTAAATTCTTCCCCAGACATGGATGGTATATGCTTATTAGCAACTATTGCATCTTAGTTTATGATATAAGAGTTATTTGGTTGGTGATCTTTGATTTCCTAACTTTACACCTAGATATATGTTGAATAGATGTAAAATTTCCGGATGCATGCTGGAAAGAAAAGTACATAAACTCCGGGTGGTAAGACTTCGCCAGGAAGCCTTCACACGCGAGCACATGCCAATTTGTGCATTGAGTATTCTGGTTTATGATTGCATCCAAGTGCTTGTAACAGTCTGCTTCAATTTGCTTGGTCAATTATCTCGATTTTCTTGTCACAAATGGTCTCTTTACAATGTCCTTGGAACTAATGCATTGTATGTTACAAATGAATCCTGCAGTGCAACCCTTGTATTTGAGGTGGAGTTAGTTGCTTGCAATCCGCGGAAGGGATTAAGTTTGGGTAGTGCTTCAGAGGAAAGGGCTAGGCTAGAGTAAGCTATCTACTTTCATCTTCTCCGCGACTTATATTCCAGAGATATACAGCGAGTCTTACCATCATCTTTACACTTTTTGTTGCTTCCGTCGAGATCTACCAACTTTTTCATCAACGGTAGGTTTGATTGAATTTTTCGTTGTTACTCACAACAGAGAGCTGAAGAAACAGAGGGAGTTAGCTGCTGCAAACAAAGAGGAAGAGAAGAAGAAGAGAGAAGAGGCAAAAGCTGCGGCTGCCGCTCGTATTCAAGCCAAGTTGGATGCCAAGAAGGGCGGAGGAGAGGGAAAAGGAAAAGCAAAATAGCACTTAGTCGCAGACTCGCATGTTTGAACGAGGTTGATCCTTCTAACCAAGTCGATTCAATAAATTACTTTAGTTCGTGAGTCCGACTGAACAAACGATGACCCTTTTCCCTAGTTTAGTGTGTGCTATAAACTTGAGCCAAACATGTTTTGGATCAATAAATCGGCCCCGGTCGGTTCACCGAGGGACGCATGTTAGACTGGAAACTTCGATTGTTGTCCAAGTAAGGCACACTAACTTCAACAACGTCCCTCGCAACGAGTTTGCCCAAAGGCAGAAAGTGCTATTCAAAATATACACAACTTGGTTGTTTTGAGGGCATAATATTCAGCCATTCCAATGCCTATATATCAAGATAATTACAGCAATGCCAATGCTGGGCATAATCTTTGAATCGGATCCATCATGTGCCTGGATTTGGATCCTCCTGATCAAGAAGGGTGGGTCATTGGATTACAAATAAGGGAGTCCCTTTAAAATTATAATAATTATAACCGTTGGATTTTCATCTAACGGTCCACACTCCTTGGTCAGGACCCTCACCTTGGGCTCAGGAGAGGATCCAAATCCCGCCTAACTATGTAGGTGGGTACCCTCCTTGTCCATTTTCATGCAACCCTGATCCTGCTCGGAATTTACACACCGGGCAGGTTCCCTGCTGCTTCAGCCAAGGATCAATGCAACTAGCATGGAACTGCAGCAAAGCAACAGCGAAAAAACACGATAATAAAAAAAAGACTCCTCAAGTCCAATTAGCTAGAGATCAACTCTTCGGATGATGCGTTTTCAGTTGACAATTTGCGTGAGTGTCGCAGAGTGTCCGGTTAGGCCTTGAAGGCGCCCATATCTCTCTTCTTTTAATTTATTTTCTCTCCAGATCAAACCCAGAAACATCCCAATTTTTTTTTTCAATTTGCAGAGGCTCGGATCGTCGGATTTGCAAATTGATTTCTTTTGATCTCTGCCAATCAATGGCAAACTTGCGGACGCATCTTCCCGGCGGAGTGTTTAACGGCCTTGAGAAGGACGCGACGGTCGGAGAAGAAAAGCTTAATGGTGGTGGGTTGGAGATATGTGGAAGACGACAGAGGAAGTTGAAGCCTCAGCATGATGATGGTGCGAAGCGTTGGTCTTTGCAATCCCATCCTTTTTGCCCCGGCCTCGCTAAGCCTAACTAGTGAAGAGTTTAGTCAGAACGAGTCTGAGGTAGTCCTATTAAACTCAGTCCTGGCTTGCACCAAACACGGATTAATATTCTTAGCTACGACAGTCTAGTCCAGTGAGGCTTAGCGAGTGCAAACATACACGCCTTTGGTGTACTGGGTCGTGTTTCAGCACACTAAAAAATATATCTCTTTCAAGATTCCACAATCAGTATCTTGTCTTAAGCACACCATTCTTTCTGATCTGTTGGAGATTCATTTTGTCCTTATATTTGTTTTACACTTATGTTACACGGTGGTTATTCTTATTTAGAGATTCTAGTGGCGATGCTCTTAATAGTACAATTTAATAGTAATCATTTCATTGGTAAGTAAAAAGATTTCAAGTCTTATTTTCGAGAATAGTGAATTCTCAACTAATTTATTCCATCATCTTCATACGTAGATATATCATTGTATATAAAAAGAAAATAATAAGTAATTAGGTTGTTTATTAGGGAGAGCAAGTTCAATGTAATAGGTTCATCATCACGTGCCGTCTCAATTCAATAACATATTATATGAAAAACTAACTTACACATAATATGATGTTATTAGATATGGACGCCACAACGGAGGCAATCACGTTCCATGTAAGTCTTCATATAGAATTGCCATTGCATAATTACCAAATCACAATTCAGCCAAAGAAATTGAAGTGCGAAAATTGATGTATGATTCTATACTACAAATCAAATAAGCTAATGTTTTACATTGGGGCACTCAAAGTTAGAAAGCAAATTGTGCAATTCCATGAATCCTGATAGATCAGCATCTTTGTGCAGGCGTGAAATTTTTTTAAATTAACTGTTAACTCAACACGAAACGATACAAAAATAACAAACTTGAATTAATTTGTTAATTAGTCAGATCATTATCAGATTACATGTTAAAATAATAAATATTATATGTAAATGACACAAACACGATCTATTTACCAAGTCTAACATTAGGCATGATAATTTCAAGTATAGCCTATTAAGCTAACACAAAAAGATAAACCGTTAACGAGTCGGTCGTTACATAACCATCTCTTAAAAATTCATAAAGATATCGAATTTGACACGATATAATTCGTTAAAATAATAAATATGATACGAAACAACATGACCCACTTGTCTAATCTACCCTTCATCATCCACCTGGGTCCCACAGACAATCCAAAATCACCATTGGAGTTGGAATCTTGGGAAATGGACACTGCACCCTCCTGCCGTCACTAAAAAAAACTCAATTACCACAACTGAGATTCAGAGAATCTCACTGTTAACAAAAATTTAAAATTAAAATTACTAAAATAGTAAAATTAAACTATTCGAAAACCAAAAACAGTACCCCCCTAATTTTTGGTAATTATCCAAATTATCCACATATGACCACATAATATCTGAACAAAATGGGCCACCTATCCAGTACCAACACCATGTTGGCCCCATCATGGTCCATTCTATGAGAAAAACTTACGTAGGATAGTATTCTAAACTAATAACACAAGGTACAAACTGCAACAATATTTAAACCAATAATGCAACAACAAATTTTAATTATTTTTTGTTATGCTGCGTTATTAATTTGAGATATCTTTACAATAACATGGTCAAAGTGTAAGTTATTTTCCAGAAATAGACCCCACCAAAGATTTGCCAGCTCAGACCCAGCAGAGGGTCCCACTTAAGCACCTAGAGACCAAGCTTTTGACTTGCAAGTTCACACCTAACCTCAGCCACTCCCACCCTAGAATTTTCCAAATCAAACTCCATCCACACGTTCTGCTGATGATAGTGACCAATCACAAACGCCTGTATGCCCAGCAAGTCAGAGTTCCCATATGTGAAGCAATACACCTGATTCCCGCCTCTCACCATTCCCGGCACCCGATACAGCAGCCTTTCCCCCGATACGCTCATCTCGGCCCCCCGAAACATCAGTGTTACTATCGGCAACGCGGGTAGACTCGGCCGGTTCGTCGGGACTTGGAAACACAAATCCATCGCTCCTTGGAACACAAAATTCGGATCGTTCAAAAGGTTAAGCACCGGTTTTGTCTGCTGAGTGAATTCCTTTTTCAGCGCCGTGTAAACCGGACCGAGTAGGAACGTGAACTGGGTTCCCGAGTCGACCATTGTTTGACCTGCCCCGGAATGGTCCGGTACGAAAACGGACTTCGGGAGCAGTAACACCTTCCCTCCAACCCGGATCCCCTCCAGCTGGACCGTGTACGCTACCCGGTCGAAGTACGGCAATGGGGTTGAAATATGAACCAGTGGGGTGTAATTTAACGGTTTGAGCCAATCGAACTTCGCTTCCCCGAAAAGCAAAACACCAGACGAGTCGCGACCCGATATGCAGTAGGAAAATTTCGGCTAGTCTTTTGTCGAATTAGTATACATTCTCATCTCTACCTAGAACGAGGTCTTTTGGAAGCTCATTGGCTTCGGGTTTTATGGGAACTCCGAAGTAAAGTGAGTAGCGCACGAGAGCACTCCCAGGATGGGTGACCTATTGGGAAGTTCTCGTGTGAGTTCCCAGAAACAAAACCGTGAAGGCGTGGTCGGGACCCAAAGCGGACAATATCATGCTACGATGGTGGAGCAGGCCTAGGAAGTGATCCGTCTCGCGTCGGGATGTGACACATATATCATCTCCAACCGAAGGGGCTCAACATAGTCTACTCAATAATTATTAGTTTTAAGTTTATACTTTAAATTTACTGGTTAATTTAATCAAACTACCATAAAATGTTTTCCAATCTAAACATTAAATTTGAACTAATTATTACAGCAGATGAGCTGAACCACAAAAGGGGTTAGGAGGTGGCTACACTTGGTCACCTTGATGCTCAGTTGATTAGCTCTATTGAATTATAGTATAGTCATTTCATTAGAGATAAATTTTTTAACACATTAATCATTTTTAACTTTTGAATCTTTAGTCATCTCCATTGAAGACGTTCTAACCAACATTGTTGATTATCCTTTCTAATCTAAGCACGCGAATTATTTACCAAAATTGCAATTATCAGCAATTGGCATGGCTTTGGTTGATGCGCTGGCAGAAGAAGTAGAACATTCTGGAGTGGAGCTGTGTCTAGTCAACGGTCACATCACGGACACGTCGAACGACATGATAAGCTCTGTGGATCCCCATCCCTGGAATTTAATCGAAACATAAGTTAATCAACAGGTGGCACCCTGTCAACAAATAATCATCCAAAACACTCTCTGCCATTTTGGACCATTGCTCACGTGGAGCTTCCTTTAGGACCCCACGATCACGAGAGATTTTTTAACATGATCGGCATATAAGATGGTACATTATGTGTTATTATACAAATATTAGAATATGTGTGTTAAAAAGTTAATAACTTAAAAAATAAAACTTCCCACCACTTACATAAAAATACGTGATATATCATCTGTGTTCCCATCGCAATAAAAAAATTTCTCTACAATCACGCGGAAACTGAACTCCTACGTGGGTCCCTGTCGTTGCATGCTTCATGCAGCGTCCACGTCATCAATGTTCGAGATTTTCATGTGAACTCAAAAGGACGGGCTTTTCGGGGCGAAATATGTGTAAAAGGGCCGGCCTTTTAGTTTTTAACTGGAGCCCAATGGCTATTAATGGGCCAGTGGTCATGTTTTATTTGTACGCTATTTTGTATGACCTTTGAAAAATTAAAGAAATTGACGCACCATTTTGTGTAGGTTTTGGGCTTTTTCATTCTACGCATAGTGTGGACTCAAATGCTCTATTTGTGTTCATTTTCGATATATTATAGTCGATATATATCTAATTGATATTTTTCTTTACTGATAAGTTTATGTTTAGTTTTATAGATGACAAGTTTAATATCAATTATTCATAGCGTAAATAAATCATATAGCTTGTTCTTTATGTTTTTTGAAAAATGATAGCATTAGTGTGTTAAATAATGTAGAGGGAATGGTGTGGATTCGCTTAAAATCTAATGATTGATTTTTATTATTATTTTTTTATATTATCTATTAGAGAAATGATTTCACACATATTAATCCACCTATTGAAAATTCTTGATTTCCCTAACTAAATGTTTGGATAAGATAAATAAACTTGAAAATTTAATAAAAGTCAGAATTTATGAATTGACATACACCAATTCCTTTATTTGGATTCATAAACATAGAATTTAGAATTTTCGCATGGACAAAGAACTTGGAATTTAGGACCACCAATTCCCAAGTTTAAATTCCATGTAAACATGTGTCATTTCTAAATTTCTACCCGTGAGAGTTTAAAATAACGAATTATGTATTCAAATTCTGTTATTTTTTTTATGTTAATCAAACAAAGAAATTCACAAATCCTAAAAATAAAATTCCGTCGTTTCAATTCGGTCATTTTAAAATTATTCAGTAATCTTAAATTTTCTTTATTACTGGTAAATCTGATATCGTGCACTACACGTGCGTGTGGGATTTCATTATCATAAAAACATCGAAGTATAAAAGCGCCAAGTTTCTGCGTAGAGCACAATCTACACCAAAACGCCCATGGCCACCGAAGCTCCCGACTATACCACCCGACTACACCAAAACGACGGGAATTGACTATAATGCCGTGGCTGATTGTGTTTATTTGTTGTTGGTTTTGTGACAGTATTTTCTGGTTAAGTTGACTATAATGCCGCTCGTTGATGGTATTGACTATGATGCCGTGGCTTGGGATATTGCCGTGAAAACCATGAAGGTCGAAAAATACGCTTATCTTCAAGGAAATTTTGGAAGTGTTAAAAGTGTCCTGTTACATGTTTTCTCTTTTGTTGGTTGCATCAGGTTGGGGAGATTGCTAAGATCACTTGCAAGCCGGAACATGCCTATGGTCGTGCGGGTTCTCCACCAGATATTCCACCAGAGTAATGTCTGTGAAGCCAAAAATAATCAATAGGCGACGCGTGGATTTTTAGATGAAAAAGACAAAATTACTCTCGAGGCACACCAAGTTTCCTACGCGCGAGCAACGGGCAAGCATCCCTCAACCAAGCCAAAAGTGTCCAAAATAGGTAACAAATTCAAAATTATTTCATCTATCCTCATCTTATATTCCCTACAAGGTATTTACTCCATAACCTTCAAAACATTCTATATAAATTGAGTTAATTGGCCAATTAATGGATTCATTACCTAATTAATCCATTAATTGCCAAATAACTCACCCATTACACCCCAAAAAACACCCAAAGGCCGGCCACTATCTCCCAAAGAGGGCCGGCCATGCTCTATAAATTGGACCCCATTTTCTCTAAAAAGCTAAGTTACACACTCTTGTAAAACTCCCAAAACTCTCCAAGCACTTTTCTCTCTAAATTCTAACTTTAGCATCGGAGGTTCTTCGGCCAAAGCCCCCCCCCCCCCCCCCCAAAAATTCATCGTGGGAGTGTGAGGCTTTTGACCTTGACCAAAGATGTTGATTGTTTTGTAGGTGCAATTTTGTCAAAGAAGGAGAATGCAAAAATTTGCATTCACAATGTCATTGTTCTATTTTTATGTCGAAATTGTTTTTAATGGACACTAGGAAATTAGGAATGCTAGTACTTCTGTTAACTTAAAGATATATTTACGCATCGATGTACCAAAACAGCACTGTCCAGACTTAATTCTTCCCCAAACATGGATGGTATACGCTTATTGGCAACTATTACATCTTAGTTTATGATATAAGAGTTATTTGGTTGGTGATCTTTGATATCCTAACTTTAAACCTAGATATATGTTGAATAGATGTAAAATTTCCGGATGCATGCTGGAAAGAAAAGTACATAAACTCCGGGGGGCAAGACTTCGCCAGGAAGCCTTCACACGCGAGTACATGCCAATTTGTGCATCGAGTATTCTGGTTTATGGTTGCATCCAAGTGCTTGTAACAGTCTGCTTCGATTTGCTTCGTCAATTAACTCGATTTTCTTGTCACAAATGGTCTCTTTACAATGTCCTTGGAACTAATGCATTGTATGTTACAAATGAATCCTGCAGTGCAACCCTTGTATTTGAGGTGGAGTTGGTTGCTTGCAATCCGCGGAAGGGATTAAGTTTGCGTAGTGCTTCAGAGGAAAGGGCTAGGGTAGAGTAAGCTATCCACTTTCATCTTCTCCGCGACTTATATTCCAGAGATATACTGCGAGTCTTACCATCATCTTTACACTTTTTGTTGCTTCCGTCGAGATCTACCAACTTTTTCATCAACGGTAGGTTTGATTGAATTTTTCATTGTTACTCACAACAGAGAGCTGAAGAAACAGAGGGAGTTAGCTGCTGCAAACAAAGAGGAAGAGAAGAAGAAGAGAGAAGAGGCGAAAGCTGCGGCTGCCGCTCGTATTCAACCCAAGTTGGATGCCAAGAAGGGCGGAGGAAAGGGAAAAGGAAAAGCAAAATAGCACCTAGTCGCAGACTCGCATGTTTGAACGAGGTTGATCCTTCTAATCAAGTAGATTCAATAAATTACTTTAGTTCGTGAGTCCGACTGAACAAACGATGACCCTTTTCCCTAGTTTAGTGTGTGCTATAAATTTGAGCCAAACATGTTTTGGATCAATAAATCAGCCCCGGTCGGTTCACCGAGGGACGCATGTTAGACTGGAAACTTCGATTGTTGTCCAAGTAAGGCACACTAACTTCAACAACGTCCCTCGCAACGAGTTTGCCCAAAGGCAGAAAACTTTTGGAGTGCTATTCAAAATATACACAACTTGGTTGTTTTGAAGGCATAATATTCAGCCATTCCAATGCCTATATATCAAGATAATTACAGCAATGCCAATGCTGGGCATAATCTTTGAATCGGATCCATCATGTGCCTAGATTTGGATCCTCCTGATCAAGAAGTGTGGGCCATTGGATTACAAATAAGGGGGTCCCTTTAAAATTATAATAATTATAGCCGTTGGATTTTCATCCAACGGTCCACACTCCTTGGTCAGGAGGATCCTCACCTTGGGCTCAAGAGAAGATCCAAATCCCAACTATGCAGGTGGGTACCCTCCTTGTCCATTTTCATGCAACCCTGATCCTGCTCGGAATTTACACACCGGGCAGGTTCCCTGCTGCTTCAGCCATGGATCAATGCAACTAGCATGGAACTGCAGCAAAGCAACAGCGAAAAAACACGATAATAAAAAAAAGGCTCCTCGAGTCCAATTAGCTAGAGATCAACTCTTCGGATGATGCGTTTTCGGTTGACAATTTACGTTAGTGTCGCAGAGTGTCTGGTTAGGGAATGTGTGTGCATGTGTGAGTGTGTGCTGGGTCGAGAGGAACTAGATGCATTTTGTAGTTGGAATCAATCACACATTTCGACTCAGCATCACAAGAATTTCTTTGCAAACATTTTAGTGTAGCAAAAACTCCCTAAAACTCACAACTGAAAATTACAGGAAGATGGAAAAAAATGTCTGAAAAGAGAACCGAACCTGATGCAAGCACGGAAGGCTGCGGATTAGTTCTCCCACAGTAACTTGCTCCAGGCAAACGCTACAAGTCAGTTCATCTTCCATTGCTTTTGTGCTGCCAACAGTATCGACAGTTTCTTGCTTCTTCTGCAAAATAGATTAGAAATATATGACGGTACAGAATAAATGCAATGCTATCATATCATATGAGATAATAATGTAGCGCAAGTTTCTTCTGTCTGTACTCATACAAATTGAAATGCAGGAACATCTTTACTTTTGAAGGGTTGCAAAAGGGTGAAAAATACAAAAGGAAACAGGGACAATATATAGCCAATACCTCAGAAGGTACTGAAGATGAAGCTTGTTGCATCGACGAAGCGCCACTGCATACAAAACAAAACTATTATAAAACAAACGTATTCAAAATGCAAAGGCTAAACAACTATGATTCAATTCTTTTTTCATTTGCCCCTAAAATCTGTCAACTCTGTTGGTCTATCTCAGTCACTCAACAAAAATAAAAAATAAACAAATAGAGAACTTACTTTTGAGGACCCACAGCCTTGTATTTATGGACTGGAAGAGCATTTATCTCTTCCTCACTCATAGAAGAAGCTGCTGGAACATTATCGGAATCCAGAGCTCGCAAAGTTTCGTAATCTGGTATGCAACAGAAGAGTATTTAGCATAAAAGTAAAGGCATGTAAACAACGTTAAGAGAAAAATCTATGGTTTGGCTAATTAAAAATATTGATAGCCATGTATTGGGTTTCAAGATATAAAAATCATTTTAGACGGGATATAACTACCAACCTAGGTCATCAAATTCCCGGTCAAGAAGTGCAAGCTGAAGTCTGAGGCCTTGAAGGCGCCCTCTTGTTGCTAAGCTAATTGATGGTGGCATACGCAACCGCAATTCAGTATGGCCAAGAAGGCCACTGGCTGACGCTGCATGAGCCTGTGCTTGAGCTTGAAGTTGTTGACAGGTTGCATACATCCTTAATGTTGTAGCCATCAAAAAGACACCAAGAACTAGCCACAGCTACATGCACAAGGATGTTTAAATTTCTCATATAACAATCTAACGAACAGCAACCTTGACCAGTAAAAGTAGCAAAACAATTTACACATGCTAGAAAGACAATACCAGAAAATTCGGTGACATCTGGTGTGAGTTCAGTATCATGAACAGCAAGAGAACTGGCAATTTGCCAACATATAAACAAAAATTAGAACCAACTAACATAATTACAAGACTAAAAAGACAAAGGATAGGATTATAAGTACCTGTGACAAGAAAAGCAAGTGAGTTGGAATTGACAGAGCGTGGTGGATGAACACGCTGATACAAAACAGCCAATATCAATACAAATTACACTAATAACTTTGCCCCTTGTTTCCCTAGATAATTTACACAGACACTCGCCATAAATTAAACCCCATAACTCACTCTCCGCCCTTGCTCTCAAGGGGGGGAGAAGGTGAAATTAGGCCCAAAGGGGATTAGCAACTGCGAAAAACAGCTCAAATTGCATACACACTGGCCATCGATTAAACCATGAAACTGAAACCTCCACCCTTATTCTTAAGGAATAAGGTAAAATTAGAGCCAAATGCAATAGAAACTAACAACTATAGCCAAGACCATATACAAAACTTGTGAAAGACAAGAAATGTACCATTGCACGCCGCCCTGGTATGAATTCCGGGAACCCACTTTCGATATCCGCTCTGGTGCCCCGGAACACAAAACTCATGATTGTTGAGTTCAAAAGCCCTCTGCTGAAACTATGAACTCACTGACTTTCCAGTTCACTGAACTGAAACACGCAAAAAAAATATGTAAACATACATTCAGTAATGCTCTTAATTCAAAAACAAAAAGAAGCTAGTTTGATGCAAAAAACCTAACTCAAGATTCCCAATTGACTTGCAGTAAAAACTCACGACTGAAACAACTAAGATCCAATTAACTTCAAATTCCTGATAAAAAAATCACATATCAACAAAACCCTAATCCGCAAATCACAAATCAACAAATCCCTAATCCCCAAATCACATTCCCTAAACTATACAATTAACAAAAAAAAAAAAAAAAAAAATCTTTTAAGAAAGAAGAAAAAAACAGTAATTCAGGTCGCAATTGATTGCTGTGAGAGATTAAGAATTACAGAGGCAGATTGGACGAAGCCTTTCATAATTTATGATCAAGAAAATTAAAACGATCAGAGATTACGAGGAGACTGAGAAATGCGAGGAGATTAAAGACTTGCCGGGAAGAAACGACTTTGGATTGTTCAGATTACAAGAACCGGCGGCGTTTCACGAAAACGCCATGCAAACGTTTCTTCGGTGGAAGAAAGGGAGCGAGTTGGAGCGTGCAGAGATTTGAGTCGACTCGGACGCGTTTTGCCTCGTGTACTCTGTTTGGTTAGTCTGATAAAGCTTATTGTTTTGTCTGTCGGACTGTTTGGTTAGTCTAATAAAGAGATTAGTTCAATTACTGTTTCGTCACGACGCCGTTTGTACTCTGTTTTTCCACTTGGAACCTGGGCTGGGCTGTTACGTCAAGTACTACAATATAATCGAATGAAAATAAATTTAAACTTTTAATATAGTGTCATTACACTTGGAATGTGTTTATTGCGTCGAATTATTTCGGACTAAACTAACTTTAAGAATCAAGCTGGATTGGTTTAACATGGACTAAGTAGTATAAAGATACTCAAATATTTGATGCAGTATCATACTAAATGACGGATTAAATTATTTTAGGGTTAAAATACTTTTTTTGTCATTTTAAACTCATTTTATTAATATTTTGTTATTATTAATACACACTTTTTGTATTTGACTCTCTCCCCATTCCCTCCACTTTTCTTCTCTGGTTTGCATTTTGTACATCTCAAGCCCAGATTTTCTCCCACTAATAATCAAAACCATAAACTTTCTCTTATTTTCATTTGCTTTCTCTTCAATTAAAACCCATATTTCTCTTCTTTTAATTTATTTTCTCTCCAGATCAAACCCAGAAAAATCCCAATTTTTTTTTCAATTTGTAGAGGCTCGGATCGTCGGATTTGCAATTGATTTCTATTGATCTCTGCCAATCAATGACAAACTTGCGGACGCATCTTCCCGGCGGAGTGCTTAACGGCCTTGAGAAGGACGCGACGGTCGGAGAAGAAAAGCTTAATGGCGATGGGTTGGAGATATGTGGAAGACGACAGAGGAAGTTGAAGCCTCAGCATGATGATGATGCAAAGCGTTGGTCTTTGCAATCCCATCCTTTTTGCCCCGGCCTCGCTAAGCCTAACTAGTGAAGAGTTTAGTCGGAACGAGTCCGAGGTAGTCCTATTAAACTCAGTCCTGACTTGCAACAAACACGAATTAATATTCTTAGCTATGCCAGTCTAGTCTAATGAGGCTTAGTGAGTGCAAATATACACGTTTTTGGTGTACTGGGTCGTGTTCCAGCACACTAAAAAATATCTCTCTTTCAAGATTCCACAATTAGTATCTTGTCTTAAGCACATCATTCTTTCTGATCTGTTGGAGATTCATTTTGTCCTTATATTTGTTTTACACTTATGTTACACGGTGGTTATTCCTATTTAGAGATTCTACTGACGATGCTCTTAGTAATACAATTTAATAGTAATCATTTCATTGGTAAGTAAAAAGATTTCAAGTCTTATTTTCGAGAATAGTGAGTTCTCAACTAATTTATTCCATTATCTTCATACGTAGATATATCATTGTATATAAAAAGAAAATAATAAGTAATTAGGTTGTTTATTAGGGAGAGCAAGTTCAATGTAATAGGTTCATCATCACGTGCCGTTTCAATCCAATAACATATTATATAAAAATCTAACTTACACATAATATGATATTATTAGATCTGGACGCCACGACAAAGGCAATCACGTTCCATGTAAGTCTTCATATAGAATTGCCATTGCATAATTACAAAACCACAATTCAGCCAAAGAAATTGAAGTGCGAAAATTGATGTATGCTTCTATACTACAAATCAAATCAGCTAATGTTTTACATTGGGGCACTCAAAGTTGGAAGGCAAATTGTGCAATTCCATGAATCCTGATAGATCAGCATCTTTGTGCAGGCGTGAAATTTTTTTAAATTAACTGTTAACTCGACACGAAACGATACAAAAATAATAAATTTGAATTAATTTTTTAATTAGTCATGTCATTATCAGATCACACGTTAAAATAATAGATATTATATGTAAATGACACAAACACGATCTATTTGCCAAGTCTAACATTAGGCATGATAATTTCAAGTATAGCCTATTAAGCTGACACAAAAAGATAAACCGTTAACAAGTCAGTCGTTACAGAATCATCTCTTAAGAATCCATAAGGATATCGAATTTGACACGACATAATTCGTTAAGATAATAAATATGACATGAAAACGAAACAACATAACCCACTTGTCTAATCTACCCTTCATCATCCACCTGGGTCCCACAGACTATCCAAAATCACCATTGGAGTTGGAATCTTGGGAAATGGACACTGCACCCTCCTGCCGTCACTAAAAAAAAACTCAATTACCCCAACTGAGATTCAGAGAATCTCACAGTTAACAAAAATTTAAAATTAAAATTACTAAAATAGTAAAATTAAACTATTCGAAAACCAAAAACAGTACCCCACCCTAATTTTTGGTAATTACTCAAATTATCCACATATGACCACATAATATCTGAACAAAATGGGCCACCTATCCAGTACCAACACCATGTTGGCCCCATCATGGTCCATTCTATGAGAAAGACTTCCCTACGTCTAGTATTCTAAACTAATAACGTAAGGTACAAACTGCAACAGTATTTAAACCAATAGCACAATAACAACTATTTTTTTGTTATAATGCGTTATTAATTTGAGATACATTTACAATAACATAGTCGAAGTGTAAGTTATTCTCCGAAAATAGACCCCACCAAAGATTTGCCAGCTCAGACCCAGCAGGGGTCCCACTTAAGCACCTAGAGACCAAGCTTTTGACTTGCAAGTTCACACCTAACCTCAGCCACTCCCACCCTAGAATTTTCCAAATCAAACTCCATCCACACGTTCTGCTGATGATAGTGACCAATCACAGACGCCTGTATGCCCAGCAAGTCAGAGTTCCCATATGTGAAGCAATACACCTGATTCCCGCCCCTCACCATTCCCGGCACCCGATACAGCAGCCTTTCCCCCGATACGCTCATCTCGGCCCCCCGAAACATCAGTGTTATTGTCGGCAACGCGGGCAGACTCGGCCGGTTCGTCGGGACTTGGAAACACAAATCCATCGCTCCTTGGAACACAAAATTCGGGTCGTTCAAAAGGTTAAGCACCGGTTTGGTCTGCTGAGTGAATTCCTTTTTCAGCGCGGTGTAAACCGGACCGAGTAGGAACGTGAACTGGGTTCCCGAGTCGACCATTGTTTGACCTGCCCCGGAATGGTCCGGTACGAAAACGGACTTCGGGAGCAGTAACACCTTCCCTCCAACCCGGATCCCCTCCAGCTGGACCGTGTACGCTACCCGGTCGAAGTACGGCAATGGGGTTGAAATATGAACCAGTGGGGTGTAATTTAACGGTTTGAGCCAATCGAACTTCGCTTCCCCGAAAAGCAAAACACCAGACGAGTCGCGACCCGATATGCAGTAGGAAAATTTCGGAAATCCCATCTGTGTAACAAAGGATAATGAACCGCGGTTCATGCCCATTAACCCGGTTGTCTTGGAGTCCTCATCAGCGTTCGAACTGGACCCGGAATCCATGCAGCCGAATATGGTACCGGGTTGGGCGGACGACCCGAGATTGAAAGTTTCCCGTGCGAGGTTACCTTCGATGGAGGAGGCGTCGGCGTAGGAGAGAATGGAGTGGCAGAGCTTTTTCGGGTCGCAGGAAACGGGTATGGGGAAGTCGCGGGTTCGGTTCCGGCATACGGGGGAGGAGCAGGGGACTGGGTAGTAGGACTTGGAGGCGAGTGGGTTGAAGACAAGGTTGAAGTTGGGGGCTTTTTTGCAACGAAGCCACGAAAGCTCGCTGCCTGTGTCGAGGACCATGGTGACTTGCTGCGGCGGAGAGCCGACGGAGAGGGAGATTGTGAGGGTGACGTTGTGGTGGAAGGAGAGCTTGTTGGTGGATTTTGGGAGGGACCCCTGTGGGAGGGTCTGTGTTTTGAGGGGCAGGATTAGAGTTTCTGGTTTTGGTGCAGAGAAACAGAGGGTGGTGAGGAGTTGAAGAAGGAGGAGGGCGAGGAGAATGGGCATTGTTCTGCTGAAATTACGAATCGGGGAACTGAATTCGAACGGAATGTATGTTTTTTTTTTTTTTTTGTTGGAATTGGGATTTGAACGTGTTGGTGTTGCAGGGGAGTTTGAGAGAGAGTTTGCGGCGGGGTCTTTGTATTTGTTGTAGGTGTGCGTGTGAATGGGGCGAAAGGTCCGCGTGAGGAGACATTTTCCAACGTAGCCAGAATACGGGTAGAGTACACCGCATAGCATTATACACTGAAGCTTACTTAACAAAGAAAACTTTATTTCACTTATATAATAACATGTAATATATCATTCGTATTTCGGGCACACTTGGTAAATTTCTGCTTGCCAGTGTGTGTGAGTGTGGTGTCTTGTAGGTGCTCTCTCTCTCTCTCTCTCTCACAAAATTTGGTTTAAGATACTTATTACATGCAAATCTCATGATTATGTATTTCTACCAAATAAAAGTGAGATGGCTAAGAAAATAAAAGAGATGTTACGCAATCAAAAGTTTTGATTTTATTGCAATGGGTTTGTAATTAATCAAGTTCTTAAGAGCGCTAACTTTTGTAATATTAAACAATTAAGAGCATTTACTTATATAACCGATATTATATGTTAGGAGTTAAAATGGATGTTTTGTATTTTTAGTTAGGGTGTGCTATCTGCACACCTTATTTTACTTCTCACACACCTCTTGATAATTTATGTCTGCTGATCTTCTTCAATTCATCTGATCCGACGGCCGAAAATTAAAAAGATGTGTGAAAAGTAAAATGAGGTGTGTGGATATCATACCCCTTTAGTTATTACATTTTTGTTTCCACCTCCTCAAGAGCAGGATCCCGGCCAAGATAGAGCTCGAAGCCAACATATATTCACGTTAAAGGGAATATCATTCCTTTACTTACAATCTAATAATCTTTAAATGTACTACTTTTATTTATTTTTAGCTCTTCTCCGTCCGGTTTAGCTGCCTGAGATCAATAATGTATTTGGTAAGCTCTTCCAATATTCATCTCTAGAGCCGGTCAGATGCTTTCATTCATATTCCGTTTAAGCTCTCATAAAAATTTTATATTCAAACATCCCTCAAGCACATAATAGTTATACGATTGACAGCTTGGTTTTTGCTCTTCTACTTTCTTTTGCTTGGTAAACAATTTAAAGGTCGAATTATATTCTGTAAAATTAGACAGCTGCTGTTTTTTCATATGCTTTTCTATTTGCTTGTTGGTTACGAGACATGAATATATATATTAGTGGCTGGACTGTGCTTAATTCTTTTCTTTCTCGTTGATTAAGCTTCGAATCCAACAACCCAAAAAGAGGATTAAAATTGAAAATAATTATTCATCTATTACTACTCCATAACAATCTTGTTCGTAAATAAAGTTGCAAATCAAATCTCCTTGTGGAGAAAGCATCACCTCAATTATGCTCTGATTTCCTTCAATTTTTAGTGTAAATTGCACTATTTTTTTTTTTTACAAAGTATATTGCGCTAATTTTAGAATTTTATTTCCATGAGTCAATGATTTTTTTTTTTAATTTACATTTATTTTGTATTTTTTTACTGCTTTTTCAGAAATAGTACGATACTCATTATATTAGTGAGTGAATGAATACAAACACAGATAGAGTGTTTTATACAAACACAAATAGGGTGTTTTTTACATGGGTTCAATAACGACAGATGATCTCTCTAGCATTTTTTTTTTATATCTCTAGCATTAGTCGTTATTAATTTGAGTCTCGACCCTTTTTTTTTTTTTTTTAATACATCAGTATTTTTACACTAAGCGAAAGGGAAGTTCGGCTAAGCTACACAATGGGCAACCTAATTTGGTATCGAATTTGTATCCACGAGATTCAAACCTAAGACCACTCACTTCCAAATAAAGAGGAATACCACCAAACTGTAGTACTGAGTGGTGAAACTCGACTCTTAAACCTTATTAGTAGACAATTATTTGATTAACTATTAAACATGTATTTGTTTGGACCCAAAATATTAGACATGGTCCGAGTACAACTTTGAGTTTGGCCCAAAATGAAGACTGCCAATATCCACATCTATTCTTAATGTCTAGCTCAGGAAGAGATAGTCGAGTCCTAATTAGTATTTGATTCGTTAGGGATCAAGATTGGATCTGATTGAGTCCAAAAGTGAGTGAGATTGTTAAGGATTAGAATGAACAATGATAAGGTTCGTAATAACCGGCTAATCATTGAACAATCATAATGTTCGTAATATTCCGCTAATCATTGTTCATAGTTGATCAAGATCTATGATGAATTAAACATGAAAGAGGGCTAGATTCAAAGTCTTAAGTCTAGTAGGAGTGGCCGAGCTTTACGCAGATGTAAAGACATATCTCCAAAAATGATAGTTTTTATAATTTTAAATGGTGGAGATGAAATATAAATGAGAGAAAGGAGGGGCAGGACACCCGATCAGAAAGAAGGGAAAGAGAAAGTGACCAATGGGGAAAGAAGAAAGGATGGGAAAGGAGAGAGTGGAGGAGCACCGGATCACCCTTGACCCGGTTCCTCCCCTCAACCCAACCTGCATCTGCAACAATTTTCAACGGGTTTCCTGTCCATTTTCCCGGCGATTCACGGCCTACCCCCACTACCAAACACCTACCCAACCTTCCCTCATTCATTTCCATCCAAAACCCCACCTAGATTGACCCTGTTTGAGGAAGAACAGAACTTGTGGGTTCCGAAGGTGTCACGGAGGAGATTCGCCCATCATGAAAGCATTGTCAACCATTACCACCATCAAACCACTCACCTTGAACCTAGGAACAAAGCCCAAACAAGTTTAGGGGTGTCAGAGTTTGAATTGAGGTCGAATCAAAGCACACCCAAATCTAGGGTTTCGACGGGTTTTCATGAAATTAAGTTTTTTTCTGGCCAAATTGGCCTTGGTCGCAAGTATGAAAGTTGTTCCTCTCATCGAGATCTTTATTCTTGTCAAATTTAGAAATTTTTGGAGATGTTGGATCTTCCGACAAGTCGGGGCGGCACGTGGAGGAAAACCTGAGGTTCCTCGATGTGGAAAATCTGAATCTGCCATCCGTTTTCCAAAATTATAGCGTTTTAGTATAGTTTTACTAAAAGGTTCCTAATTGTGTTTAGGCACGTTGGCGGAAGTGATCACATCCTCGATAGTTCGAGCGGCTTTTGGGCAATGGAAAACTAGTGAGTAGACCCCTTCTTTACCTATATATTTTTATAAATATTACCTAGCATACATGGCATAGTTTGTGATTTGAATATGATTTATATTTTATGGATTTCTATATTATGATTTATTTAATTTACGTTTTAGGAAACGTTATAAACTATTGGTTTTACACCTAGAAAATGTTTAATACTATTGTTTTTATACCCTATGAAATATTATGGAATGTGATTTATGAGAATGATTTGAGTTGGATAGCTTTCACGGTTTTATATGATTTATGAAACGAGGGTTGAGCTTTTGAACCTCGATGTTTTGATACGATGTTTTGAGTTATGTTTTCAATAGTTACCTAGTGGTTTATCATACGGCACATCCGCACACCATGGGTATTGTTTATGGCCATAAGACACAGATGATGGAAGAGTGAGATATGATATATTATATATACCCCCAGCTTCACTGCCGAAAGAGGTATCAGACAACTTCACTAACTGAGGCTAGTGTTGGTGTGGATGTATGCTATTTTATACAGCTTCACCTACGGCTGATGGACAGGTTATTTAGCTTCACCTTCGGGTGATAGATAGGTTATTCAGCTTCACCTTCGAGTGATAGACAGGTACTGCCTTCGAGCGATTATGATACCCTTAGTTGATTACTTTACTGATAAGATTTACAGATTCGCCTTCGGGTGACGTTTTCAGCATTTTTAAGCATGGTTTTATACGTATCGATTTTACAAACATTTTTCATTCCATGCTAGGGTTTTCATAAAACCTACTATGTAGTATTATATATATATATATATATATATATATGTTTTCAAAACGGGGGGTTATTATGTTCAAAAAATAAAATGTTTTCCTATTATTAGTACTAATATTATAAACTTTGGTCCGCTCACCTTTTCTATTTTGCACCCCTTTCAGGATTTAGATTCGAGGCACATAATCGTGGCGTCAAGACTAGAACATAGATATTCTTGAGTCTTCTCAGTATAGGTATCATTTTTTTGTTCGTACCTTTTCATAATAATTCCTTCCATATTATTCTTAATAGTTGTATGCTCTGAACATGATTCTGCATCGGTTTATATATTTCTAATTAAATATTTTATCGGTATGCATGTTTTTAATGGCTTCATCACCCTCGGGTGTCGGCCAGCACGTGCCTACCCTGGTATTTGGGAGTATTGGGGTTAGGGCGTGTTAGCAGAGGTCAGGATGGTTTGGTGCCGAGGAAGTACAACACAGATAGGAAGCTACTACGGCATGTTGTAATAATGTGAAAATCATTCCTATAAATTGAAGAGGTTCTACAACATTTGTTGGACCTTCAACATAACACACATATCTGCCCTGCGCAATTTATTGCTTTATGCAAAACCCTCTCATCTTTGAGATAACACCGACATTCCTAACTTCGTCAAGCATATCTTCTAGTTTAGATAAACAACATTGTAGTTGAAAAACGACGACATCTTACAGTTTGGATAAATAACACTGGAACTGTATCGTCAGGTGATTGATATGTGCCTTACAGTTTGGATTAACAGCACTGCTCCAAGTTCGGTTGACTATCTATCCAAATTTGTCAACAAGGGATCTCTTAGTCCTTGTTGAAATGGGTCATCTTATTAGTCTCTCAGCGAGTGAGCTTTTACCAAGTTACATTGTTCGATACATTAAAGTCAACCCCATTTTATGATTGGATATTCACAAGTGCATTTAGATTTCGGCACTCCAACAACTGAACTACATTTATAATCAAGACATTTAACTCTTTTGAATATTTATGTCCATACATCCTGTTACCAATTCAATGCACTTATTTAACACCGATTCAATGCACTTATTTAACTCTTGAATATTTGTGTCCATACAGTCGAACCC